AGGACAAATATTGTATGAGACCTCTATTGTAAAAACCCATGAAAAAGTTCACACACAAAATGTAACAATCTTTGTTGGTTACCAGGGATGGGAGGGATGGGGGGGAAATACTAAATAGGCAATAGATACGTGGTATCTTGGGTGAAGGGTGAGACAGTACACAATACAGGGGAAACCAACACAACCTGTACAAGCAAAGGTCATGGAAGCCCCATAGACACATCCAAACTCCCTGAGGGACTGATTGCTGGGCGGAGGGCTCTGGGGACCAAAGAAAAAAAGAAAAAAGAAAAAAAAAAGTGGGTTAATGACTAGGCTAAAACTTAGAGGTGATAAACAACTTGCCACAGCCCAAAGTTGTGATCTCAACAATTGTATGTTACCAGCCTAGTACAGAAAATACCAGACATTCAAGGTAATATCAACAACAACTAGATTTTACAATGAGAAATCTGAGGCCAAGAGGGAGGTGATGGCTTATTCAAGACCACATGGTGGCTTATCCAGGACTAGCTTCTGAGACCTTGCTCTGCCCTCTTTAATTCTCATACAAATGGCAAAGTCAACTTTGACAGGCATGCGCATTGACAGGAAAGGAAGAACATGACCTCATACCTCAGAAATGTGTGTTGTATTGAAGCAAAACAAATAGTTTTTTTTTCCCACCCAGAAACGCAGTAAGTGTAAGTAAAGCTAAAGTACACTCATAAGCCTTGGGGACATGAGCCTTGAGAAACCATGGGCTATTTTAATACCTCTTGTAATTATATGCAGCACAAAAAGACAACTTACTCCAGCTGTAACCAAACTCATCCTCTTTGTCCACATCTTCTGAGGCTTTGCTTGCAGATGACTGTGCAGGATCACTGCCCATTTCTGCAAATGCCGAAGGAGGGGGCAGAGGCACATTGCACAATGGAGCCTTTTCTGGCTTCAACTCTGACTGCCCAGATGCCTGTGGGAACAAGAAGAATGTAGTGGGTATGTGCAGTCTGAGGAAGAAAAACTTAGGGGAAAAAAACAAAGAGATAGAATAACACCAAAAACAAGAACAACTGGCTTTGAAATTCCTGACAATAAACAAATAGTGGAAAGCTCTTAAATATATGTAATGTTAGACAGGATTCAGGTAAAGTTTAAAGACAGTAAACAAAATAGTATGTTCAGAGCACAACTCAATACACTGTTATTTGCTATTTTAAGCCCATGAATTATTCAATTTGAAGTCTTAAATGACTTAAGGAAAAAAATCGCACAAATTCCCCCTTTTGGAAAAAAAAAATCCCCATTCCAAAGTTCTCACAAACATTCAGGGGTGTGGGCAAGACGACAGGGGTCTAGAAAGGTCTTCCAAGAAACTAAAACAAAACAAGAAGTTATCCTTCAAAACTTATTAGTGAGACTATATATAAAGAGCTTTTTATTGTTACCTGAATCCTCTCTCCAAATGACTCTGTCAACAAATCCATTGCATCAGCACTACACATGCCGGCTCATCTACCAGCAAAGAGCACATGGGCTCAAATTGGAGGGGCATGGTTTTAAGGGACAACACCACCATTTCCTTGTCAAGGCAGCTCATTCAAGGTACAAGCAAAATATAAGAGAATACTTGATATAAATCCAAAGTGCAGCATACTTGCCATCACTTAGGGTTACAGATCCTGTTTCAAAATAAGCACTGAGTATTATCCAGTTCTTATGTTGCAGACTATCAAACAGAATATTAGAATTTGAAAGTTCTTGGGGCCCTGGTGGCTGAGTGGTTAAGAGTTCAACTGCTAACCAAAAGGTTGGCAGTTCAAATCCACCAACCACTCCTTGGAAACTCTTTGGGGAAGCTCTACTCTGTCCTATAGAGTCACTATGAGTTGGAATTGACTCGATGGCAATGGGTTTGGTTTTGGTTAAGTCTCTGAGTTAATTTTATTCATTTTGTAGGTAAGTCACCCGAGGCCACCAGAAGTGAAAGACTTTATTAGAAATCACACAGTGGTACTAGACTTTTTTCACTTCATTTTTCTCCCAAGGCACTTTACATCATACCATGTTGTCCCCTCTAATTTCCATAGTAAGACAGTATTGTTTAACTCAAGGGTTAGGGACACCCAGCTAAAGGTCTAACCCTGCTGTGCGTCTGTCCCTGATGCCTTGGACCTATGTTTTTCCTAGTCTTCTTTACTTTTTTCAGCACGAAAATCCCTCCAGTATACTTTGTTTTATTTTATCTATGTATATCAGTAAAATACTGTGATTTAAAAAATAACTTCTTATAACCCATTGCCATCGAGTTAATTCCAACTCATAGCAGCCCTATAGGACAGAGTAGAACTGCCCCCTAGAGTTTCCAAGGAGTGCCTGGTGGGTTTGAACTGCTGACCCTTTGGTTAGCAGTAGTAGCGCTTAACCACTACACTACCAGGGTTTCCAACTTCTTATAGAATGTACTAAATGATAGGCATGCATGCTAACACTTAAGAATTATTAATTGGTGCCAAGAATCAGGATACCACAAAATAAAAGTAACACTGAAACTATGTGGCACTGAATTTCATCTTTTTTGATGAGTCAGAAAGTACTTCAGGATTCTTAGCTACCTCAAAATCACCCTAATAAATATCAATTACTATTTTTCTAGCAGAGAAGGATTGGTTGACAGAAACTATGGGCAATAGATTTCCAGTTTGCGGAATCCGCTGTATTAAAATATTCAGTTTATATACTACTGTCTAACCAGACCAAAGTCACTAGTCCAGAACGAAGCCCTTACTATCTTTCCAAGCGTGATGCCACAAATCTGTCAAATGAGCAATGTACTAATACAAGCGAACAAACAAACAAAAATCCTCATCTGATCAATTCTGGTTCATTAATCATACTAAGGTGGAGAGAAGAAAACATGTAATTTTGAATTTTTCTGGTTAAAAAAAATTACTTCTTTGCAGCAACTGAAAAATGACTTCTCTGTAACAAGTGAGCAAGAATGAAGCTCATTTCATTCTTTAAAAGTGAACAAAATCTAATTTAAACTACCCATCTTTTTAATGAGTCTATGGAGGCACACTTTATATAGATCTGTGTAACTTTTCTGAGCTGTTTTCTTAAAAAACAAGCAAACAAAACGTGCTTGTCTGAAAAACTGTTCAGGATCTTACTTGGCACAACATTTTCATACTGTGTGAGGAGTTAAACTAAGCTGGGGTCATCACATAACTGATTAAGTCGGAGAATTAACACAAGCCTGTATTTACTAAAGGGGTGATTGAGTGTTCTATTGTACCACTCGTGCCACCCCCATCTAACTCTTTAACAAAGTGTTTAGCCTTCCCTGGCAAAAATGCAAAGTGCACTTTGAGACCACTCCATGCCATGTATGCACACATCAAGTACAAGACCACACACAGCACACTGTAGCACAGCCACTTATCTATGAAAATTTCACCCAGAACAAACCTTAAATGGCGTGGGAGCAAAAGGGTTAGTTGGGGAACAGCGGAAGATAACTCTACTTGAATTCTGTAATTCCTACAGTAACAGAAAACAGGCTTCTTCAGATACAGCATCTTTGGTTACCCATACTACAATAACATGAAAATCTGATGAATATTCATAAAATGCCTCCTGAAAGAAATTGTTGACAGCTTTCTTCCTTTTCATGATCAAATTATGGTATATTCGTTCTTGTGAAGTTTGTTTTTATAATTTCATCAGAATATGAGAATATTCGAGAACAAGTTTACAAGTGCTGAAATAGTTATGTGTTTCTTGATTTGGGCATTTACATGGACACACATTATGAATATTCAACAGACTCCTGCATGGGCAAATTATCTGCAGACTAACTCCCGGATAGTTTTTTTAGGACCACATTGTACAAGTTTGAGAAAGACTTCAACCACACAAGGTTTTAAAGAAATTATGTGTGACAGTAGTTTATACATCTGGCAACTATCAGAAATTTAAATACCAGAACATTTAAAATCACACCAAAATACAGAAGAGGTATCGGACTCACAATTCTCCCTCACTCTTCAGAAGGGCCATCTAATTACAGCTATAGAAACGAATAGGCTCTGGCAAGACAATTTGCTTAAGAAAGGATATGCATGCCCACTCCAAATACACAGATATTTTTTTTTTTTGTCCCCCAGCCCAAATTTAGTACACAGTGAACTGGGACAAAGGCGCAGTAGTGACAAAGAACAAAACGTTTGCAGAAGGCAATTGCAATGGGCATTACCCAACCTTGTCAGCGTTGAATTGTAGAGAGTCAGCAAATGGGTTAGTGCTGCTGAAGTTGTACTTAGGGTAAAGGTAGTGCGGCAAAGAAGGCAAAGGGGATTTCTAAAAGGAAACATAAGAGGTGCTGAGCGCAAGAAATGTATTTAAAACAAACCAGTTTTAAGAACAAAGTACTTATTGATTGAAATAACTCTGTGAAAACAGAGCCTATCAGAACTAGTAAATAATAACAACATCTTTTTGAACAGTCTGGGACTAAAGGTTTGTCTCTAATTACCAGGGTCTACACTTGAGTCAAAATCAGTCCACAAGCTACACAGAAAACTAGTTTGTTAACTGACTCCACATTTCTTTTGTTTTTACTGAATATCTCCACTATCACAGACACGTGCACATATATTTCACCTGCTTTTTTATATTAATTTATACTCAGACCAGTAAACATGCCTTAAAATTAAAGCCATAAAATCTTTTTCATTTACATTTACAAGTTAATTATTTTTATTTTTTTAAATAGCCTATTTGTTCTAGAATACAAATCATTGCCTGCTAGTTCACTGGTAACTTTCATTATTCTTTTATCTCGTTTCCCAGTCAGAAAACTTTTCACACTCTGACTAGATATTAAGGTTGCCTCAGCTCAATAGTATTTTTTAAATAATAATTAAAAAAAAAAAAAATGACAGCTATGTGTGAAGAAATTAACCACTGTGTAGTGGTGTTCTCTATTTCTGCCTACTTTTTGCAGAAGTAGGAAGATGGAGATTTGTATTTAAAAATAGAATTCCTATAAAATTCCCCAGATTATTGCTGAATTTATGAGGCTTTGAATAATATTTAAAGTCCTGCCTCCTAGTGTTGCTCACAGGTCTAGTGGCTTGCCTGTGGTAGTCCCTGAGCCAGGACTGTTGGCGTTGAATATACATATTAAAGGCAGGATGACAGCCAGACAGAATTTAGCATTTTCATAGCTTAAAAAAAAAAAAAGTAATTTTCTTAGCACAATAAATTCTTCTTTTCACACCCACTATGTTTTTCTTTTATTGACTGTATTTTTCAGGGGAAACTGCAGACATTCAAAATTCATTTTAGCTCCAATTAAATGTTTGTGTTACTTCTCTCTATAAAAAAGCCCTAAAGCAGAGAGAGAGGTTGTCACATGACACCACCCCGTACGGGAGAACACTCTGGAAAGACTATCGTCAGTGCCTCTGCACTAAACCTTATGCCACATTACCCTGTCAGTCTGCTCTTCTTCCGTTGTTTGTTTTACAGAGGGACGATGAGAAAAAGAAATGGGCCACATGGCACTTCTGCCTATTTCAACTTTCTCTCGGCTTTTCAGAGGAAAACATCAACTCCTGCTTTACAGAAGGGAAGACCACACAGGCCAAGGAACATGATCATTTACTAAGGTGGAAGAAATGATTAGGCAGAGAGGAAAAACACATCCTAGACAAAATAACTCAACGCTATGGAGGATGGAGACTATTTCAAATCCTCATAATGGAATTTTCGGTTTTTAAGCATCCCTTGAAATTCTGCACAACAACAGAAAACAAAATCATAATGGCAAGAAATGGGATATCGAACTATAAAGAGAGCTCTAGATTTTTTGGTTTGGTTGGTTGGTTTTGTTTTTTAATTTGCAGCTCTTACAGGATTAGAATTTGGCCCTGAAACCAGAGTATGAAAGCACAGCATGAGCACAGCAGATGAAATGGCAGATCACTCTTTATTAGGTAAAGATTTTAGAAACAAACTATATTTCTTACTAAAAAAATCAACGACTAAACTTCTGTTTATAGTCCCAAGGGCTGATAAAAGCAGACATGTTATTAACTTAGAAAAAAAGCACAGGGAAGACAAAAACACTCTTTGGCCCTTATTCATGGGGCCCAGCTTCAGGCTAGCAATGAGGTCTGACTGAATTTTGTGAAGTGTCACACCAGTAGAACTATCTGGGCTAGCTCTAGGTCCTTGGCTGTACAAATAGTTAATGTGCTCAGCTGCTAACTGACAACTCTTCCAGTTCACCCAAGAGGCACCTCGCCTCAAAAAGCCTGGTGACCTACTTCCAAAAAATCAGCCATTGAAAACTCTGTGGAGGACAGTTCTACCCTGGCACACATGGGGTCGCCATGACTCAGACTTGACTCAACAGCAACTGGTAATAGTTCTGGGATGTTTAGATTCTTTAACACCCTAAGAGCCAGACTCACTCGCTTTTCAGCCTATGCATAAGATTTTCTAGAAGCTTTACCCTCCATCCACATATAAAACATTTACCATTAAGAGATTCTTAAGTATATGCGCGTGATTTTTTTTCCTTTTAGATTAGTGGAGACATGATTATTGCCAAAGGGAAGTAAATCATTGAAAACAAAGCATACCTCATTTTAAATGCAAAATTAATTCTGATTTTCCAATGCTAAATGAATTGAACTTGACTAAACATGTCACTTTGAACCAGATTTATCTTGGAAAGAACTGCTACAAAATCAGCATCATTCATCATTCTACCTCTGATAGTTAAAATAAGAAAATTTTCCAGGTGTATGAGACAATATCTTCCCAGCTTATTAGGAGAATGTGACTGGATTAAAAGAAAACTTTGTACTTTTAAGTTTTTAAAGTAATATTTAGTACCACTATTCAGCAGTCTATAGTATTGTTCCAAATGATATTAAAGTTGGAAATTAAAAATAAAGCAAAAAAAGGGAATAAAACCTACCCACAAAAAAAAAAATTAGCTTTAACTTAAACGGGCATTTGCCAGCATGATCATGCTGTGTCTGTGTTTAACACAACAAATGGAAACAAATGTAAAAAGATTTGGAGTTATTTAAACAAACTGAATAGCATTTGTAAAGAATGCAGCATGATGCAGTCCTACCATTTGGCAGATTTTCTCATCTGAATGGATAATTATTACCTAACAATCAACAAACGAATGATTAAGAACTGCAGATGTGAAGATAACTGCTTACATTAAGAACTACTAAATTCATTCCTTACAGTGAACTCAGACCAGAGCTACACCTGTCTTGACAACAAAAGGAAGGACCAATAAGATAAATCCTGTCATTTTGTCTGTATTCCAGGGTGCAGCATATTCACAAGTGACTTTTACTGACAGCTCATCAGTGGAGCTGTTTGCTACTTTCCTTCCATCCCTTGAGCATTAATCTGTGAAACTCTTAAAAAAGTTAACATTAAAAGTACTTTATGAATAAAATTACACATTTTTAAGGTTCATATGGTGACTTTAACTTCCCTCTCGTATGTTGACATTTTTCTTTTAAAGACAACCCACCCTAAAAGCTAGTAAGCAGATCATTCAAAGGAGAATCAATATGACAGGGGTCCTTAATTAAAATCCAGAAGTGGAACCTTCAGGACATATAAGAAACTCTTGAATTGGTATGCAAACCCTGAGTGAATGCATAGGTTTCTGAAGAAAGGGAACATAAACTCTCAAAGGGGTGGTGTATAACCCAAATATATTTAAGAATCATTGCATAAGAAAATAGGAGCCCTGGTAGTGCAGTGGTTATGCACTCGGCTACTAACCGAAATGCTGGTGGTGTGAACCTACCAGCTGCTCCATGGGAGAAAGATGTGGTAGTCTGCTTCAGTAAAGATTACAGCCTTGGAAACCCTACGGGGCAGTTTTACTCTGTCCTATAGGGTCGCTATGAGTCAGAATCGACTCGATGACAATGGGTTTTTGGGGTTTTATGAGAAAATATACTTTTTTTCCACTGAGGCCTAAAGAAAGAATAGTTTTAAGCTGTTGGCTAATCTTCATCGTTAGCATCATTTAAGACATATAAAATACACAAAGCCTCACTGAGCATCTTCTCTCTCCGTAACATTCATCAAACGCTTTTATACTTTCTAAAATATTTTTAAAGCCATTTTACCTGTGATGACTGCTAGTAAAACGGTTAGTAGGTTTCTGTCCACCGAGGGCAGATGCTGATGAATAGTTTTAAAATGATCGTGGCTGGGAAACAGCAGTTATGACATCACTAGTAGATACACATACGGCTTTAACAGAATCCACATAGTGGAATTTTAATGTTCAGAGAGATAAACAGATACATTAAAGATCAGTCAGAGGTGATTGTATAAGCAGGAAATTCTGTCTAGAGAATAAATTTATAAAGAGAAATAATCTCTCTAGTTTCTAAGGGACTCCCACTGGAGGTCATGGATTATTAACCTGAACTACATCACATTCCTTTTAACAACTTACGTCTTTTGTTACTATAATGAATATAGTAACTACCCATCTAGACATCTATGGCCACCAATAAATACTACTTGTGTGTGTTTTCAACAGATTTCAAGTCTTTATTAAACATGGTGGAAGGTTATTTCCAGGACAACTCAGTTAAAAATAAAAAATAAAAAAGAGGCAAACAAACGTTTTACAAGTCATCTGAGATTTCAAGAATTGATATCTTTGCTCATGCAGACAACTTGGCCCTTGATGCGTTAGCTTCCAAGTTGAACGCTGGATATGCCTACCTTGCCCTCTGAGTTCGCTTACCCTTGGTCTGTTTATAATGCTCTGTACCATAAAGACTACAGGGTTGCCTGCTTTCCGAATGGCTTCCACAGCTTGCTCATGGCTGGCATCTCTGAGATCCATCCCATCCACCTGCAATGGAAGGCCTCAGCTTAACATTACAAGAAGCTACAGAACAACAGAACAATTTGTGGATCTGGAGTTTTGAGGATCCCTGTTAGCCTCCTGGAGAATCTGTTTCAGAATTAAAAATAACTGAGACCAACTTGTGAGGCTTCAAAACTTTTAATCTCTCTAGCCGACTTGTGTTCTCTTGTTTCGGACGCCGATTTCTGTCTCCAGTAATCAATTGGATAATAATAATTGGAATGAAGGCTCTGCTTTTGCTTTCCTTACACTGCTCAGTTGTTCCTTCAGTGTAATAAACCAGCATAACTAAAGATGTAGCAGTTGGCTTCTGTACAGATTACAGCCTTGGAAACCCTATGTGGCAATTCTACTCTGTCCTAAAAGGTCACTGTGAGTCAGAATTGACTCAATGGCAATGGGTTTTTGGTTTAAAGAAAAAATATAAGAGAACTGGCTAGCAGCACTGCCTTCATAATGAAAATCACTGCACTAATTTTCTTCCAATTCATTATAAGGCGGTTTGGGACTCAGTGGGTGATATTTGTGTATTTATCTCTGTACAAGGAAGCTTGAAGTTGAAAACAAAATTCTCAAGTCCAGACACATCAGGTTATGGTAAGGTTAGTTTTGCGAAAGAAATCTTTGCAGAAGTCATGACAGGAGTTGGAAGCCAAGAAACTGTGCTTATTTGTTAGTAACTCTTATAAAAAAATAGTTTGAAAATGAAAGTTATTTTGTAACTTGTCATTGATCATGGTTTGCTTTGGTGATGATCAGCTCAGTTTAGGCACTATATGGATAAGAAGGAAAATAGTTTGAAAGGCCAAATGCTAATCCTGTCAGGAAACTATAGGAAGCTATTATCATTTCCAATTACCACAACATGATATATTCAACAAAATAGCAAAATCAGAGTGGACTCAATTCTGGAAAAGAAAATTAATTATTAGATCTTTACACAGAATGTCATCACCTTTAAAAGAAGAATTATATACATTTAGTTTTAAATCTCCCTCAAGTTAATACTTGGATGATGTAACAATACCTCTTTAGGGCATATTAAAAATGGCTTCTTTTTTGTAGAACAAAAGTCAGTATTCATGCCTATTATATATTCTATTAGTGGACAAATTTAACTCTACTCAGCATGTAGTACACTGCAGGTCTCTACTCATCTAGAATAAACACGTTTTCAGAAACTGTAGGATTACAAAGGCCTAGGGCTTTCTTGCAGCCCTGGTGGCGCAGTGGTTAAGAGCTCAGCTGCTAACCAAAAGGTTGGTAGTTCAAATCCACCAGCTGCTCCTTGGAAACTCTATGGGGCAGTTCTACTCTGTCCTATAGGGTAACTATTTCTCAGAATTGACTGGATGGTAACGGGTTTGGTTTTTTGAGGTTTTCTTATTTACTAGAGAATCCCTTGCACATAATAGCATGTAATAAATCACTGCTATAATTGCATATAGTATTTTATAACACAAAATAATCCTTTCTTATCAATTTGAAATGGATGCTTCAATTCCACTAACACAATTAAACAACATCTCAGTGTAAACTATGATCAATCTTTTCTAGCACTAATTATAAATATTTCTTACTCTTTCTATTTAGGTCAAAGTTATTTAATAGTGAAGTATGTGTAAAATAAACTGCCTTGTAATAATCTAAAATTGGAAAAGATGACTCTCCAAACGGGACTAAAGATATCACCTAGTGAAAGGCAAGGATGCAGGAGGAGAGAAAAGGCCATCACTCTTTCTTATAAATGGTCACAAGCAAAAAACAAAACAAAAAATAGACATGGCCCTCGCTTTCTCTCAAGTCTCAATCTTCGTCCCTCTTCAGCTCTCAAAGACACCAATCAATCAATGAAAGAATAAATAAATCTCCAAAATACTCATTTTAAGGCATGGTTAATACGTTGTAACTGTCTTCTACACAATTAAAGCATTTTAATGTGTAAGTTATATGGGAGTCGTGAAAAGGAGAGACAATCACTTGTTTAAAGTAAATCTAATAGTTGTTATAGTAACAATGTGATCGGTTTCTATTTGAATCTTGTCTCTTTCAGTCTACTCTATACACTTTGAAAGGAGCCCCGCAATACTGTGGTTAAAGTGCTTGGCTGCTAACCAAAATGCCGGCAGTGCGAACTCACCAGCCATTTCACGGGAGAAAGATGTAGTGGTCTGCTCCTGTAAAGATTTACAGCCTTGGAAACTCTATGGGGCAGTTCTACTCTGTCCTATAGGATCGCTATGAGTTGGAATCGACTCAACGGTAATCAGTTTGGTTTGGTTATACATTTTGAAAACTTAGCAAATCTGGGTCAGCTACCCCTTTCTCTGCCCTATGAAATAAAACTATCAGATAATCCCGATCAAACAATTTATCACACTGTTTGAAGTTACTTGATCACTTGTCCAGTCTCTCCCACTTGACAAGCAGGCACTGTGTCTTGTTTATTGGGGGATGCCCAGAGACTGTTACAGCACCAGGAATACAACAGTTGCTCTGCGAATATTTGTTGAGTAATTTAGTGAATGACTCATGAGAGAAGAGTTTACTTAAAATATTAAACTTTCTTTGAATTAAGGGATTAAGTATAATTTGCCTAAATGCTTCTCTCTTGCACTTAACAAAGCACACATACATGCACACATACACATACATACACACACACACCTCTTGATGGTAAATGGACGTAGCATTCCAAAGGAAGAAAATCTAGGCTTGGATTGAGGGACAACATTTATATTGAAGATAATTGGGATCTTAACATAGAAGATTTTACCATTTAGATTCACTTGGAAAAAATCTCATCCAATAATATTTACCTACAGTGAAACGATAGTGATAAAGTATTTCTTGAAATAAAGTCTCATTGGAGAATTTAATTATGATGCATAAATTTGGAGTGTGTGTGGGTGCATAATTTTAAACAATTTTTTTTTTCAAGACATTTTCTTTGAGAAAGAACTTAATTATTTTACCTTGGAGCACATGCTTTTTAAAATGGTTGATTATACTTCCAAATATCAGTCTCTATATCAAGATATACATTCTGTTTTCACCATATAGAGAAGAGAATATTGTGGGTGAAAAAAACAAATAAAAAAGAAATAATTCAACCACAAACACATTTTATGTTAATGTTGGGCCAACACTGGAAAAGGGGATGAAATAGATGGAGAATATAGGCACCGAAAGTTCACTGGAGGGTACCTCTACTATTCTGTCTCCAGGCTTCAAAGTTCCATTTTTTCCAGCTGGACTATCTTCAAGAACATGCTTGATGAAAATGCCCCTCATCACTTCACCGTTGCTTAGACGACTCCCCATCCCTCGTCCACCGACAATGCTGATGCCCAGTGATTTGCTTGGTTCTCTCCAAAGTTCAACCCTATAAAAATGAATACATTAAAAAATGCAATGCAATAAAACATTAGTATAGATGTTAATTTTTGTTAATAATTATTTGTCGAATTTGCTAAGGCTTTACTAGTAGGAAAATAGCTAGTTTTAAAGTACTTTCCCAACTATGTGTTTTGTAGGGTCTGATAAACACTAGTGCTATTTCTGAAACTGGTTTGTTACAAGTAAATATAGGACTCATACTCCAGGCTGGGGCACAGACCTAAGTAAAAGTACCATTTGCAGGAGCTCTAATACTGCAGACATTAAGTAATCAAGAAATTCAGCTACCACTGAACAGATGGTAGCTTCTGAGTTTAGTAACCAAATCAAGGGAAAGAACATTCCTGGACACACTGTATCAGAAGCTTATTTCTGTAGAAGTTTTTCTTGCCAAGGCAGACCTAGTAACTAACAGTCAAGGCATGAAGAGCAGTGGCTGACAAGTTCCGCCTGATCTAATCCCACCAGAACCTCCCTAAATTCATCTCCCGTACTTTCCTCTCTGCATGGTCTTGCTGTTCGTTCCTTGAGTTCATCAGGCAGTTCCCACCATGGGGCCTTTACACTTGCTAACTCTTCTGCCTTGAGCTTATGTTCCCTACCCACATAATAAAGCATGAACTTATATATGTTGTTGTTAGGTGCCGTCAGGTGGGTTCCCACTCAAAGCGACCCTATGTACAACAGAATGAAACACCACCTGGTCCTGGGCCACCCTCACAATCGCTGCTATATTTGAGCCCATTGTTGCAGCCACTGTGTCAATCCATCTCATTGAGGGTTTTCCTCTTTTTTGCCGACGCTTTACCTTACCAAGTATGACGACCTTCTCTAGGGACTGGTCCCTCCTGATAACATGTCCAAAGTACATGAAAGGAAGTATTGCCATCCTTGCTTCTAAGGAGCACTGGCTGTACTTCTTCCAAGACACACTCATTCATTCTTCGGGCGGTCCAGGATATATTCAATATTCTTCTCCAACACAATAATTAAAATACGTCAATTCTTCTTCAGTCTTCCTTATTCAAGGTCCAGCTTTCACATGCATATGAGGCGACTGAAAATATCATGGCTTGGGTCAGGCACACCTTAGTCCTTAAAGTGATTTTTGCTTTTCAACACCGTAAAGGGTCTTTTGCAGCAGATTTGTCCAATGCAATACGTCATTTGATTTCTTGACTACTGCTTCCATGGGTGTTGATTGTGGATCCAAGTAAAATGAAGTCCTTGACAACTTCAGTCTTTTCTGTTTATCATGATGTTGCTTATTGGTCCAGTTGTGAGGATTTTTGTTTTCTTTATGCTGAGGTGTAATCTACACTGAAGGCTGTACTTATATGAACTCACATATAATAGCTGCAAAGAGCCAGAAGAGCTATGAATAAATTGTAAAGTATGCATCTTGTGAAAAGGCTGAGGATAAGAAGAAGGTTAATCTGCAGTGAGAAGGTATTAGAGAGATGAGGAAAACAGCTTGGGGAGTTAGAAGGGAAAAGTGAGATGCCAAAGAGAGCTTTGGGAGAAAAGACCAGACTCTCCACGCTGCTAAATGCTGCATAAAGAAGAACAATGTTGGACATTAAAAGGAGAAGGAAGTATGGTCCAAACACCCCCCCAATCTTGACATTTAAGGTGCTCCCAGAAGAGAGGTAGGGTTGGAGTCAGGCATCCCAAGAAATGAAGGAGGTTCCAGCAAGAAAAGGCTGGAGAGTCAAGAGCACGCGAGACAGAGAGAGGACTTGGTTACATGCAGGAGGAGACAGACAATGGGATACATCGGTCCTTCTGTCAGCATTTTTTTCTGGACTGGAAATCTCTAATTCCAGAAACTCTACGTTTTTAGTCTGAAAGGATCTCATCATGATCCCTGATTTTATAAAATTTGTGTGAATAAACTAGTTAAGATCCTATCCATCATTTTCTCTCATTCTAAGAATTCTGTGAAAGAAAACAACACCTTTCCCTGTGTCTTACAGTGGTCCTAAGGTAAACTGGCAAAGTAGAAGAATCACTAAGTTTAGTCACTGTATGTAAATACTTACGAAACCACAACACATAGGTGGGACTTCTCAACCTTTCTCTTTAAAAAGGACAAAAAATATATATAAAAGAAAGAAAGAAACTGCCTCTTTGGGCTCTTTGTGGTTGGTGTAAATTGGAAAGTGGTTCTTATGAGCTCTTAAATAACAAAAATAACAGCAGCAGCAAATATCTACTGAAGGTTTATCAGGTGCTCAGCATTGTCCTCTAAATGAACTACATACATTTTCGTTAAATTCTCACATCATTCGAATGAAGCAAATTCTCGGATTAGCCCCCTTCTACAAAGATGGGAAGAGACACAGAGAGGTTAGGTAGCCTCTGGATAATAACATCATATGCTCACATAGGGTTTTGCCAGATAGCAAAGTGTTTTCAAATACACTCCCTAGACACTATAACTCCTCATAGCATTTGAGAAGACAACCAAAGGCAGAACTGCCAAAATGATCACAGCACTGAGGAACCAGACTCGCTGCTCACTGAACACACCACAGTAAATATTCTTGGTAAAGGAAAAAGAGACCTATAAAAGAAAAGTCTTAAACAACATGAGCACTTGAGAGTTAGCTACATGGCAAAATGGCAGCCTTTCTTGAGACCTAAACATAGATTTAAAAAGAAGGAAATTCGGAAGGGCAAAGGTAAAACACAGCTTTGAAGCCAGAGCTCCTGGGTTCAAGTCTTGCTTTTTGCCACTTAATCCTTACATGACACCGAGCAACTTAGTTAGTCTCTGCTTGTCTTTTACGTTCCTCAGATGTCAAATGGAGACAAAAACAGTCCCTACATCAAAGAAGTTACTGTGAGGATTAAATTAATTTATATACGTAAAGTGTAAAACAAATCTTGAGCACAAAGCACACAAATTAAAATGCTTTTATTACTATGATTATGATTACAAAATAACGAGAGTAAGATACAAAATTCAATCTGTATGACAAATCAGCAAATGGGTGCCCCGCCCCTCTGACCTGTTATACCTGTATACTGTTTATTAAGACAAGGTTCCATTTTCCACCTATAGCTGGGCAAAAATGAACTGAAAAAAGATCAAACAATGTGTTAACAAGGATATGGGGAAAAGGGAACTCTTACGTATTGGACATAGAAGTAAACATTGGTACATTCACCTTGAAAAGCAATTTGACAACCTCTAATAAAGTAAAAAAAAAAAAAAATGCATATAAACTTGTGGGCCAGCAATTGCTCTTTTTGGTATATATCTAAATAAATTCTCATATGTAAGGAAATAGATATAGTTACTTCACAGCATTATTATAATATTGAGTAACAGTTAACTATCCAAATATCAATCTGGGAATAGATTAAAAAAAAAAAAACTGTAGCATATTCATATACTGAAATGCAATGCAACAACTAAATTGAATGAATTAGATTTTTAGGTATGAACGTGATACATCTCTAAAACATAGGGTTGAGAGAAAAATAGACAAGCTGGAAAATGATACATATAGTATGACACCAATTATGTAAACGAAAATCATATGTAAAATAAAATAGTAATACAGCCTATTTACACTCTTAAAATTTACACTTGCTAAAAAGCATTCTCTATTTCCACACAAAGGCAGTGGTTGATGAATTGTCATTGACTGCATGAACAAGCGTCCCATCACATTTGCAACACTATGAAAACATGTTCACAACACTCGCTCCTTGTTTACGAAAAGCTCTGGTTGTTTTGGTAAGCTTCCTCAGCGTACCCTATGAGCGCCTCCATACATGTTAAAGAGTACAGGCGTACCTTATTAGAAGCAATTATGGAAACGTTGAATAGAATTCTCTATGTAAGGCAGTTACCATCTTTAGATATATTTCTTAATCTTCCAGTTCAGAAGTCATGCTGAATTCTTTCTCATAATTAAATTTCACAGTGAGTCCTGTGCTCAATGCTTTCTCTTTTGCTTAGTTATTACCGATCACCATTATTACTATTGAACGTGCCCACCACTGACTGAATGCTCACTCTGTGTCAGGCACTACGCAAAGGGTTTTATGTGCACCAACACACTGAACTCTGCAAAATTTAAAAGGCTCTATTATTAAACCAGAGCCCTGGTAGCGTAACGGTTAAGAGCTCAGGGTGCTAACCAAACTGTCCTCAGTTTGAATTCACCACCCACTCACTGGAAACCTATGAGGCAGTTCTACTCTGTCCTATAGGGTCGCTGTGAGTTGGAATTGACTCAACAGCAACAGGTTTGGTTGGTTTGTTTGTTTTAAATTAAACCATTGCATAGATGAAGTAACTGAGTCCTAGCAGAGATTAAGAAACTTGCCTTAAAAAGTGGCAAAGCTGTAATTCAAACATGGCTGGAATTCCAACACACCACACACCTAGCACTTATATCCTGTTCTCCTTGCGGGCAGTGCTATAAAGAGACCTTGAGTTGTTTAGTGGGGCTAAACTGGAAGAATTCAAATCAAAAAACTCATTTTAGATGGCCAGAAACGCTTACTGTTTCTTTCAAAGTAACATAAAATAATGTTTTCTATATCTTGAATAGGACTCAACCTAGATTAAGTTTACATGTGATGGCTGCAGCCTCAAGTTCATTTGTGAGCAAGGAAAATCTTCAAATGTATTACATCCCTGAATACCACAAATGCTTCTCTCGACCATTCTATTTATTCAGTGTACAGCAAACATTCAGGGTCTACTGAAGATACTGTGATGGCCATTACCTTTAAATCTCTTTGGAGAGGGTGCCCAGTGATTATTTACCTTTTACACTTAATTTAAAATGCCTTGCATTGCTTTTTAATTATTCCATGTGTCTATATGTCTGGCTATCCAAGTACATTATCACTTCCTTAAAGGCAGGATTCATGTTTTATACTTCCCTAAACGAAACCAAACCAAATCCGTTGCCACTGAGTCAATTCCGACTCACAGTGACCCAACAGGACAGGGTTTCCAAGGAGCAGCTGGTGGTTTCAAACTCCCAACCTTTTGGTTAGCAGCCATAGCTCTTAACCACTACACCACCAGGGCTCCTATACTCCCGTTACTCACAAAATCTTTGGCTTCAGACCTGGGTCCATAAATGGGACTCAAAAAATTCTTAAGCTGAATTTGATTTTACTCAACATGAACATGTTGTGATGCATGGTGAGATATCTGAGTGTATTTAGAAAAGCGATCTTTTCTAATACATATGAAATAGGCGATAGACGCAGCATGGCTTAGTATAAACTCAGCTTATGATAACAAGGCTGCTTACCTCCCTATGTATGCTTGAATATCTACTTTTTACAAATGTTAGATAAAATTTAAATTAGCGTTTGGTGGTATATCCGAGATCAAATTTTATAGATAGTATTCCTCATTCCTACTACCCATGTATAATCTTTAGTTAATTCTAGTTTGTCCCTATTATGTGCCAGATCCTTGTATACATGCTAGTTTTATCCCATTTTCTCCACTGTACACGAGGAAGTGGAAGTTTAGGAATATCAACCAATCTGCACAATGACACAAGTATCAAGCAGTAACGCAGTCCTTGAAACCACACCCCTTACCTTTAAAGTCTCTGTCTCTCTGTCTCTCTCTCTATATATATATATCTATCTCCGTATCCATTGAGTGGGCAAAAGACAGGAATAGTCCTTACCGCCGGGGCTGATTCCAATTGCTGTATGCTGCATTTTGAAGTTCACTTTCTTCTCCCTCTCCTTCTTCTCGCTCTGGTAGTTCTGGAATGTCTCTGTTAAACAGTTATGCAGTGAGTACTCTAAAATCCTAGTAAAACCATGCACAAGGGTCTTTATATTACTTATATTACTTATATTGGTTTAACATAAAAATGCAGAACTGCTTATTTACCGCACTTGGCAAATGAGTGTGTATTTTTACAGTGGGGAAAATGAAAACTGAATAAAACCAAACAGACACCTTACATTAGAATCAACCTATCATAACTTGGATATATAGCTGAACACTAAAGAATCTTGGTTAGTCTGTTTCTTTCCTGAAGAAACATAGGGAAATTAAAAAAGCAGATAGTATGAAGGGGTAAATACCAAACTTGTAAAGAAAAACTATTCAAGAAGCATTTCTTAAAGGCCTATCACGTGCAAGAGGCTAGGGTCAGCGTGTAGGTTGTAAATCTGCACAGACCTGATTCTTGTCCTGAAAGAGTCTGAATAATTAATATGCCAGGACTTTGGCATCTCTCCTTCAACTTTTGAAGAGAGACGAAAAATGCCTATGATCCAGTAACCCATTCAGAAGAGCCAGACACAGAATGCTCCTTACAGGAAGCAGGTTACAATGCACCTGCACGCAAGGTCACCTTTCAACTTCTGTAGCACTTCAGGTTTTGCCAAATGCCAAGCATATTAACAAAATATGTCCAGTCTATTGACTGAAAGTAAATGAAACTGTAAAAATAATAACAACATCTAAAAATGTTTTGCTTTTCCAAAGGTACATGAGTCGGTATCAACTCGATAGGCAACCAACAACAAACAGCAACAATACTTTGCTTTAATAAAAGACACTACAAGGGCAATAGAAAACAAATCAGTTATGATTTGTTCTTATGCTGCTGGTAAAAATAATATTTCTAAGGAAACATAATGTTTACTAAAAAGGCAAGATTCAAAACTCTACATAAATCATTACCCTAAATTTTCTATAAATAAAATATTATATTGGAATGAAAAATTAACAAAATATTAGCAATGATTATCACTTAGTGGTGGAACTATTTATACGATTTTTCTTTACGTATTTTATGCATAAGGGTTTTTTTTTATGTCTTTTAGGAATTTTCAAAAATGTTCACGCATTTCTTTTAACACAGAAAAGGCTATGAAAATTCTGATTCCATAAATGTTTTCAGTTAATTTTTACAGAAATTCAACAACCTTGAAAAATTATATGCTCAAGTGATAGCCATTCTCCCATGACAAGAACACTGAATGCTCTCAAATTATATGATTGTTAGACTTTGAGACTGGAAGTCATCTAACCCAATAATCCATCTGCACTTGAATGTGCTTCAGATCACATCTGGCAAGCAACTGTCCAGGTTGTCTTGGAGGTCTCATTCCTCCTTTGAGCTGAACACTAGACTTTTTTAAAAAACCGTGTTAGAATAAAATATGTCTGTCTAAAGCTTCTACCCATTGGTTCTAATCCTTTTGTGTGTTTGAATTCCCCTCCTGTGAAAATTGAGGAACAAGGCTCGGAAAGAAGATGGACTTCAAGAGCTGTGGCTAAGTCTGGCAGTGAGGCAGGACTTTGGGGAGTGGATCAGAGAGAGGGATTCTAAAAAAAATGAGAAGGAGATGACTGACAGCTAGAGTCCAAGTGAAGCCCCAATCCACAGGAAGCAAGGTAGAGAGATGAACACTGGGCCAAATCCTCCGGAAAGGCAACTGAAGAGAATGTGATGGAAAGCATGTCTGGAAGACAGGAAAGAACAAGAACTTGGAAAGAGTCCCTGAAACAGTGGTTGACAGCTGTGGGGAGAGTCTTCCCCTAAGGCCTAAGCTGTGGGAAGTACTCAGAAATGCTTTCAGCCATATAGTGCATCATAGGCTCCTGTCTTTTACCTATAACTTGTTGCTGTTGAGTTGATTCCAACTCATAGTGACCCTAGAGGACAAAGCAGAACTGCCCCATAGGATGTCCAACGCTGTGATATTTACTAAAGCAGACTTCCACATCTTTCTCCCATGGAGCGGCTGGTTGGTGAGTTTGAACCACTGACCTTTCAGTTAGCAGTCGAGTGCTTTAACTGCTATGGCACGAGGACTCCTTACCTTTTACCTATAAGAAGATAAATATTCTGAATCCTCTGATACTTATTTCCCTCAGTCTCTTCAGATGATTCCACAACCTGGAATCCTTTCACTAATCTGGGTACACTAAATGTGTGGATGATTCTTCACCCATTTTACAAGTGTGGTTTTCAGGACTCAAGTGCCATGTGGCTACCACAGAGCAGAATGGACCTGTTCTCTTCCTCCTGCACACACCCAGCCAACACTGAATGAGATTTCTTTGCTCCTGTGACCCACTGTTGAATATCACAAGCTTTGTGTCAACTACAATAACCAGTTCTTTTTACATCTGCATTTAGGCACCAGTGAAGTAGTTGGCACAGATCACACAGCAAAGCAGTAGAGGTGAGATCTGAGTAAGGCCATCTTACTAGAGAACTTGGGCTCTTACTCTCCAGGTTGTGCTGCCACATACTTTTTATACTGGACTTAAGCAATTCTTTCTTTGAATCCACATTCAGGGCCTTGTATTCGTCCATCCACAGAAGAAGTAAAGTTCAATGGTTAAGAACATGGACTCTACAGACTAACTAGACTCTAATCTCGGCTCTAACGCTTATTAGCTGTGGGATTTAGAAAGTTACTTAACCTCTCTCTGCTGCAGACTCCTCCTCTGCAAAATGTAGACAGTGTTGTTTGGTTTGCTTTTGCTTTAAGCACCGTTATGGTAATAGCTAATACATTTTCTCTGGAGTAGCAGTGAAGCAGCGAGGCAAACACTGCACAATCCAGGCCAATTCCCTTTCTGTGCTAGAGGGAGCCCAGTGCTGGAAGTAGCTTTTTCCTCTAGTACTTTTCTGAGTACTTTTTACGGCTTCAACTTAATAGGAATAAAAGATTATCTTGCAGTATTCTTTAACTAACTCATTTGAAACAACAATTCAGAGGGACACTGAAAAGATTACTTTTTACCATTTTGACAGGCAGCATTGGGAAATAATAATTTATGCCACTAATGTTGAGATGGAAATTCTAGAGGGGAGTGTGGCTGAGCTTTGTGAATATTCCTTTTTCCATGAAAATACATAAGGCTCCAAAGACCATAATATTTTTTCCCTCTATTAAACCCCTAACATACCTTTCCCTTCCCTAATGCTCCCTGTAAACCCAGCCTTGTCTATTTTGCAGACAGAACAGTGATGCAATACTTAGATGCCAGCAGGTTCAACAGGCACCAGGGTGTCTAGGGGTGTTCTGACATCCTCTAAAGAACTGTCAAGCCCCTGTACCAGATGACCTCAGAGTATCTGCAAGGCCATTTCTGCCCTACAGTATGCCTAAGGAGAAATTAGGTACTCAGTTTCCAATGCAACTGAAAAAACAACAAAAACAACAACAACCAGGTCCACAATTGAGAGTGTAAAATAAAATACTACAATCTTTATGGAAAAGCAATTTGAAAATTATTTCTCTCTCTGCTAAGAACTCGGTCTGTGGCATCATTAAAATCTCCTTTCCTAAGGAAAGAAAATTCTGCTTTATTATTTAAAAGTTCATAATATATTTGTACTGTTGTTGTTAGGTGCCTTCAAGTCGGTTCCGACTCATAGTGGCTCTGTGTACAACACAACGAAACACTGCCCAGTCCTGCGCCATCCTCACAATCGTTATGCTTGAGCCTACTGTTGCAGCCACTGTGTCAGTCCATCTCACTGAGGGTCTTCCTCTTTTTCACTGATCCTCTACCTTACCAAGCATGATGTCTTTCTCCAGGGACTGGTACCTCCAGACAACATCTTCAAACTACGTGAGACAAAGTTTCACCATCCTTGCTTCTAAGAAGCATTCTGGCTATACTTCTTCCAAGACAGATTTGTTTGTTCTTCTGGAAGTCCATGATATAGTTAATATTCTTCACCAACACCATAATTCAAAGGCTTCAATTCTTCTTCAGTCTTCCTTGTTCATTGTCCAGCTTCGTATGCACGTGAGGCGATTGAAAACATCATGGCTTGGGTTAGACACACCTAGTCCTCAAGTTGACAGCTTTGCTTTTCAACAATTTAAAGAGGTCTTTTGAAGCAGGTTTGCTCAATGGAATATGTCATTTGATTTCTCGACTGCTGCTTCCATGGAAATTAACTGTGGATCCAAGTAAAATGAAATCCTTGACAACTTCAACATTTTCTCCATTTATTAAGATGTTGCTTATTGGTCCAGTTGTGAGGATTTATGTTTTCTTTACGTTAGGGTGTAATCCATACTGAAGGCTGTAGTCTTTTGTCTTCATCAGTAAGTGCTTGAAGTCCTCTTCACTTTCAGCAAGCAAGGCTGTGTCATCTGCATATCCCAGGCTGTTAATGAGTCCTCCACCAATCCTCACGCCATGATTTTCTCCATGTACTCCAGCTTCTCAGATTATTTGCTCACCATACAGACTGAGTAAATATATGATGAAAGGATACAACCCTGACGCACACCTTTCCTGATTTTAAACCACACAGCATCCACTTGTTCTGTCTGAATGACTGACTGCTGCTGGGTTGATGTAGATTTTCTGGGTGAGCACAAGTTAAGTGTTCTGTAATTCCCATTATTTGCAATGTTACTGATGATTTGTTATGATGCACACAGTTAAATACCTTTGCATAGTCAATAAAACACAGGTAAACATCTTTCTGGTATTCTCTGCTTTCAGCCAAGATCCATCTGACAACAGCAATGATATTCCTAGTTCCGTGTCCTCTTCCGAATTCGGCTTGAATTTCTGTCAGTTCCCTATTGATGTACTGCTGGAACCGTTTCTGAATTGTTTTCAGGAAAAATTTTACTTGCATGTGATATTGATGATATTGTTTGACAATTTTTCCAATCTGTCGGGTCACCTTTGTTTGGAATGGATACAAATGTTTCTCTTCTAGTCGGTTGGCCAGGTAGCTGTCTTCCAAATTTCTTGGTATAGATGAGTGAGCACCTCCAGCCTTGCATCCTTTTATTTAAACATCTCAGTTGGTATTCTGTCAGTTCCTGGAGCCTTGTTTTTCTCCAACGATTTCAGTGCAACATGGACTTCTTCCTTCAATACCATTGGTTCTTGGTCATATGCTACCTCCTGAAACCAGCTGAACATTGACCAATCCTTTGGGTACAGTGACTCTGTGTATTCCTCCCATCCTTTTTCGATGCACCCTTTGTCGTTCAATATTTTGTCTAGAGAAGCTTTTGCTATTACAACTCTATGCTTGAATTTTTTCTTTAGTTCTTTCAGCTTGAGAAATGCTGAGTGTGTTCTTCCTTTTGGTTCTCTAACTCCAGGTCTTTGCACATTTCATTATAATACTTTACTTTGTCTTCTCGAGCCACCCTTTGAAATCTTCTGTTCAGCTCTTTTACTTTATCATTTCTTCCTTTCACTTTAGTTCCTCTACATTCAAGAGCAACTTTCAGAGTCTCTTCTGACATCCATTTTGGTCTTTTCTTTCTTTCCTGTCTTTTTAATGACCTCTTGCTTTCTTCATCTATGATGTCCTTGATGTCATCACACAACTCATCTGGTCTTCAGTCATCAGTGTTCAATGCGTCAAATCTATTCTTGAGATAGTCTCTAAATTCAGGTAGGATATACTCAAGGTTGTACTTTGGCTCTCATGGACTTGTTCTAATTTTCTTCAGCTTCAACTTGAACTTGCATATGAGCAATTAATGGTCTGTTCCACAGTCGGACTCTGGCCTTGTTCTGACTGATGATATTGAGCTTTTCCATCGTCCGTTTCCGCAGATGTAGTGGATTTGATTCCTGTGTTTTCTATCTGGTGAGTTCCAACTGTATAGTCACCATTTATGTTGTTGAATAAGTTGTTGGTCTTGCAAAATTCTATCATCCAATCTCTAGCATTGTTTCTATCACCAAATACATATTTTCCACCTACCAACCCCTCTTTTGTTTCCAACTTTTGCATTTCAATCACTAGTAATTATCAACGCACCTTGATTACATGTTTGATCAATTTCAGACTGCAGAAGTTGGTAAAAATCTTTAATTTCCTCATCTTTGGCATTAGTGTTTGGTGCATAAATTTGAATAACAGTCGTATTAACTGGTCTCCCTTGTAGGCCTATCGATATTATCCTATGACGGATAGCACTGTACTTCAGAATAGATCTTGAGATATGCTTTTTTATTATGAATGCAATGCTATTTCTCTTAAATTTGTGAATCACACCATAGTAGACCATATGATTATCTGATTCAAAATGGCCAATGCCAGGCCATTTCAGCTCTCTAATGCCTAGGATATCAATCTTTATGTGTTCCATTTCATTTCTGATGATTTCCAATTTTCCTAGATTCATACTTCGTACATTCCACATTCCGATTATTAACAGATGTTTGCAGTTCTTTCTCTGCATTTTGGGTCATGCCACACCAGCAAATAAATGTCCCAAAAGCTTGAGTCCATCCATATCACTAAGGCTGACTCTACTTGGAGGAGGCAGCTCCTTCCCAGTCATATTTTGAGTGGCTTCCAACCTGAGGGGCTCCTCTTCTGGCATATATTAGACAATGTTCTGCTGCTATTCATAAGGTTTTTCACTGGCCAATTTTTTCAGACGTAGACTGCCAGGTCCTTCTTCCTAGCCTGTCTTAGTCTGGAAGCTCCGCTGAAACCCGCCCACCATGGGTGACCCTGCTGGTATTTGAAATACCAGTGGCAGAGCTTTCAGTATCACTATCACAACAACAGGCAAGCCACCACAATATGACAAACTGACACACAAGTGGTGGATATTTGTATTAGGAGTCTTTAAAAAGTCACACAATTTTCTATGATGCCTATATATCAAGACATTTATTGTAACACTCTCCATAAAAGGAAAAAAATAGCCATTAAAAATGCTTCTAAACTTGTACGTGTGTTAGCGAAGAAATAAGTAAAGTTTCTGATGATGTTTGAAAATATCTATGAAGATGGAAAAAGCATGATATAAAACTATAAATTCTATGTTCTAGGAAACTAATCATATTCATATGTGGGGTGATTTACCAAAATTCAATATACTAAAAGTACTGGGTGGTAGAAGTCAAGGCGGTTTTAATTTCTTGATGTATATTTTTATGTATTTTCCAAATTTTCTACACTATATGATAATTCTACTTAAGTTATTGATGGGTGGGGGGAATATCTTTTAAAAGTTTTTGGAAGGGAAAGGAATCCAGTCTTTTTCTTTGCTCCCTTCTTCCCTGGCCCTGGATTCAAAACTCTTCTTTATAACTTGCTATATCACTCATTCATGTTAGCAGATTTAATATTTCACTTACCTTTCAGTGTATGAAGAAAAAATATTCAGTGACATTATTCCCCCAGATTGTTGTTCCAAGCTTATTCTGAACTCTTCCAAATGTTCTGCAGGCACGTAAGTAATTCTGGAACAGAACACAAACCATGACAGTAAAGGGAAGGAACGTTTAGCCTATTAGGAAAAGCTTCCACAGTAAAAGTATATTGTCTCTTCATCTCTACCTCCTCACACATCAAATTAATTACTCAGCAGAGAATCCAAATTTCAAAAGGATACAATCTATTCTATACAAAGTATTCTACAGGCAAGAGTAACAATAGAAAATACATTTTAATATGCTGGTAATAAATTATGTACTTACCAATAACCATATGGAAAAGAAAAGCAGCATATTTACGTTTCCAAATGAGAAGGCTAACAGTAACATTTTGAAATTAAGACGATCTATAAATCTTAATAATGACGATTGCCAGAAAAAACATTAACTTTCTCCAAAGATTTCTGGGTTCTCTAGCAGAAACAAATTAGGCATACTCTAATAAAACACTGGCTATCCAACATTACTTTATATTTTTCCATGATCTGCAATTAACTGTAGACATTAACAAGCATTACTGATAATTGCATGTTAGTTCTATTAAGTTATGAACTCTCAAGTCTCAAGTTAAACCACCATAAGTTTATGGAAAATGCCTCTTTACTAATTTGTACCAGTTTCTTATAAATTCACTCTGGTTTCAGAAAAAAGCCCTACTATTTATACCTGAATGGCAGTTACTAACTCTACAAGTAGTGGCTGAATGCCTATTACAGTATGGCACTGTGTTGCATGCTGACTATAGCTGTAATGTTTACAAGCTGACATTTTAAAATGCAGAAGTTTGCTGCTATTCTATAAAGCTATGTACTTAGTTTATGCACGTCTTCAAGTAGACTGTTTTAACACTATTAAATGAAAGTAAGGTAAAAGAAATACTGTATTTGAAGTCCACTAAGTATGTTTAACTAAAAAAAAAAAAAAAGGTATATATCAAAAATACACAATATAGTTATCATGAAGACTACTAAACCACCTATCCATAGCTTATCCATTAAGTCAGTAAGTATATAAAACCATAGCCCTGGAGGACAGAGCTAAAAGGACTGTCTTTCATGCCATCATAAAATAAAGATTGTGCCAACAGCATGATTTATGGAGTGGGGGGGATATATAATTTCAGATCTATTGGTTATTCCATAAAAAGCATTCACTGCATGAGGTCACTTAGGTTGGGCGTGAGAAGATATGATTCACTGCTCGTCAGGAGGATGATGTGGGAACAAATCACCACCACTGAACCGCAACATCCTTGATCACAAAAAGGATATCGTTTTGTATGAGGCTACTGTCAGCCGAGAAGCACAATACAAATGTAAAGAGGTGTTCTAACAGGACATCAACACTCCTGTTAGACACGTTTTGTGCAAGGATCAAAAAATGGAGCAGAAAGCACACTGCAGCGGATTTAGGACTAGGCTGAGTAAAAGAGTTTCATTCTAAATCCAGTTCTATTTAATTTATTCAGCTATAAAAACATCTTCTCTAAGTTGTTACAAAAATATATTAAACTAGTAAATTTGCCTTTATGCCTTCAAAAATAACGAGGCAAAATGAGTACGTTATTTCTGGAAAGAAGATTATATTTTACACAAAGAAAAATAAAAGTTAAACTTGAAACCTAAAGTCTGGAAAGCCTATTCAAGAAAACTGATAGTATTTCTGAAGATTCAGTAAAGGTACCAACTCATAATAAATAAAACTTTAACAAAAAAATGTACGGAAAGAAAGGAGGCGGGAGCTAGAACATAAGAGTGAAAATAATATTCAGTACAAAGCATTTAATTTTTAAATTGATTTGAGAAAGGAAAGAAGATGTTTCTATTCCAACCAATGTTGAAATGAGCTTTCCCCTGGATTTGTTCAAAGCTGTTTTTCTTTTTACCAAAATGGAAGGGTGTACCGTACAAATATTTTTTCTGATACTTTGGGTAGGGGTGAGAAAGAACAAGAAAGGCAGTCTTCATAAATATTTAGTCTTATCTAGACAGTGAGGCCACAGAACAATCACCCCACAATGTAACAGGACACGCAGATCAATTCTAACACACGCCTGGTCACACAGCCATCTAAAACCTCCAAATCACCAACAAAGAACACCAAAACTGCATTACGGACTGTATAAACACACAGAGAACAGCTTAGGTGAAAGCTGTATTAAAGATTCTGAAAAGTAAACTAACCTTTGGTTTCCACATAGAGTGGAAGAAAAAAGAACACCATTAGTGATGTCCAAGTGTGATACAGATATTAATCCAGAGGCTGCGCCTGCACAGGCAGGCAGGATCTTTCCCTCACAAAGGAGCTTTAAAGCTTAGGAGTTGGAAAATGTGATTTTCAAATGAGTTGACAATCATCAATGCGATGTGCAAACGTAACAATCTCATAGCTCTGCTGGAATTGATGTTCTTATGTAAATGGAGAAAAAAGCCAAAATGTATACAGTGCATCTATATCTGGATCTCTCTCTGCACTGGGATGTTACGAACGCATGAAATGGTTTGCACAGACAAGTTGTCACATACAGCCATAATGAGCTTTTGAATCACTGATACTCACACATAAAAGGGGGCTCGATCGTCAGCAGGTGCTGTAGGAAAATCTAGAATGTGAAGCATACGCTGCGGCATCTTTTTACAATGGTGTTAACAAATGTCAATGTCTTGTGCTGAATGTGAGAGGCATACATATGTAGTTAAAACTGAGTGCTCCTGGTTGTTTTTTTGTTTTTTGTTTTTTTCCCCTTTCCACCTCCCTCCCATCTACACCTCCCCCAGAAAAGCATCTGCTCTTTATTGGTGTCTATAGCGGTGATTATTAACAAGAATGGAAAAATGTAACTGCAATCAATCTTTTATTCCTTGATCAGGAATTCATCCCACACTTTAGGTTAAGGCAGGTGAATTCTGATTCAGCTCAGTAATTATCTGGCAGATGTTACAAGCAGCTGCTGCTAAGCACAAAACCCTGGTTATTATTACAGAAATATAAGAGCTCCTGGCAAGGTGGAGTGAGAAGTAAAACAGAATGCATTCTGGTGAGGCTTCACATCTGGTTTTCCACAGAAAATAATGAAACCTGGAACTTCAACTAGCTGTTCTTGAACTCTTGAAACTCGAACTGTCTACCCAGGCATGCAAGAATGCACACACACAAAGGTGCTAGCAAGCTATCATAAATGACAAAAAGAAATCCAGTGCGTCGTCTCAATAAGCAATGCTTTTCCTAAAGCCAGTCAGTAACGCAACTGAACCCCTTAACATCTTTAAGGTGAAGTCCCTACAATGCACCCCTCCACCCCTGCCCTGGATTAAGCAGGTTCGTAACAAGTAATAAAGAGATGGAGATGTGGATGGAGCTGAGATGCAGGCAATGACTGCGAAGCTTCACTGGCCAGATGTTATGGTTCCACCCAGAACAATGGAAGGATTAGACTTTCCTTCTGGGATGATAACTCACATAGCTTTCAAGGTAATTCTAAACGCTTTGGTTCATGGAAAGTAAGTGACAGAGAGGGGACAGAGTCAGAAATACTTTAAGCAAACTGCACAGGATACACGGCTCAGCTCTGGTCAACCTACATGACAGACTATTTTCATTTTGTCATTTAACACAATCTTTCTCAAATAGGATTATATAAAAATGATGCGAGCTTCTTTCTACCATTTCCTTGATAAGTCAAACTCTATAAACGTTGAACCAGAGCTTTAGGAGGACACTTGAGAAGAAATCAATGTGTTTTCTGAGTAGGTCTGTCTGTGTGTGTGTGTGTGTGTCTGTGTGTGTGTGTGTGTCTGTGTGACAGAGAGACACTGATAGATTGACTGGTTTACTGACTGATTGATTTCCAGAAGAGGAAAGGTTACAGATTTTTTTTCTTGTTTTTTTTACATGTAAGATTCTACAATACATTATGCCCCTTTAGATCCTAAAGCAATTACTTATCAGAATACCTCTCTAGATACCCTTCAATGTCATAACAAAGCCTCAGCCCACATGAAATTGGTAAATTCTAGTATTGAATCTGAGGGTGGAAAAAAAATAAGCAAAGGGGAAAAATACTTTTGAGCTTGACAGATGGAATAACATGTACCTGATGACTTTTTTGCAGTTGACTATATGTATAACTTATGCCAAACTGATGTCACAATGGTCTGATACTTTGGTCATTTTTTAAGTTCCGTAGTACATTAGAACAGAGGGGTAAGGTTGACACTAAGCAACAATTCTGGCAATCACAGTGCCAAAAAGTGGGCAAGGAACCTATATCAGTGCACACAGCTTAGCACACATATTATTGCATGATAAATGAAATGATCAGTTACTAGACCATCTGCATTTTATACTACATCTAAACTACATAAGTTAAAACCCTTCCCAAAAATAGTCTCCATGTGGACCTATATCATTCATCTTTTAAGCAGAAGGAATAAACACTGGCCCTCAAGGGGTGGGGAAAGTTTCTCTTATTTCTTAGTGTAGAGGCACTGACATTTTTAATGATGTTCACTTGTACCTGCATTATTAATAAGATAATTAAGGAACAGTCACATGACCGGATGATTTGACCAATTGTAAAATAAACGTCAAAAAGTCAGGCAAAAAATATGAAAACCCATTAGTGAAGTTTCTGCCTAAAACTACTTCTTTGTATAAGACAGCAGAACCCACTCCAAAAACGAATGATATATATTTTCTGTTTTTTATTGAAGGTGGAATGAAAACCAGATTGTAAATATAGCGTTTCTTACCTAAACTCTAGCAATACATACTTTGCAAAATAAGCAGTAACAGGAATGCAGTTAGTAAAATAACATTAATAGAAAAAAAGTTCACATACCTAGCAATCATTACATCGATTTAAGGTAAACAATCTTCTCCTGCACTCTTATTTTACTATTATATCCCTTATACATATATTAAATGCAAACATCAAAGATTAATGCTAAAGAAAAAATCCAAGCTATTACACTGATGAAGTATGACAATAAAGTCATGAACTGATTTTCATTTTGCCTCCAGGAATG